TATTATATATCAAGAACACAAACCATTTTTTTCTTTTAATCTAGGGCTCTCTAATTTTTCTGGTTGTCTTTATAAATTGAACGAAAATTTGGTTAACAGCACAGCGTGAAGGTTTCTGTTTTTGTGGATATTGAATGGTAAATGTGTTACATGGTCTTGATATAACTTTATCGCATTCTTCATAAATAATAGATAATATATAGTTTAAATAATCTTCGTTTGTATAACTTAAGCTTCCGGGCATAATTATTAATTATTTTCAAAGGGTAACTGACAGCTGTCAGATTTCCTTTGCCATTTGATTGTATTAAAATTCATCATATTCACCAAATAGCTATATGAAAACATTAAATTGGCAATATTTTGAAAACTAAGCCCTTTTGGAATAGACAACTTTACACAAACTTACCCTTATTTGTAGAATGAAACCAGATGAAATTTTCAAAAATGGGGGTTTCCATTCAAAAAAATTAACTTTGGGCAATTTTCTCCACGCCATTTTCTAACACTTTGTATTAATAGTTATGAAAATGTTGTCGAAATTCCATTTTAAGTCCATTTCAACAAGAAATGCGCCTCATATTAAGCAGAACAAATTCCCTTATAGGAAAAGCGAATAATTATTCCAGTGGGTGCAACTGTCATTTTTTACATATAATTTTAAATATATCAAGAACGGTTAGACTTAGGTGTAGAATATTGTACAAGAAATATGTTCCGAATTTGCAATAGAATTCAAAAATCTTGAATAAATAACCTCTAACAATATATAGGGTGTATCATTTAAAAAATTGAAATTTTTGATCTTGAAAATACGTTAATTTGTACGATGTTGTAGCCAAATATTAATTTAGTTATAAACCTTCCTGTTGCTCAATTGCTCAATTCAATTCAAATTCAGACAACTGGAAATGAAAAACTGCTATTTAACCTCCATGTTGAGAAAAACCGATAAAGTTTTTACTGGTCCACTTAAAAGCTTATGAAATTTGGAATTGATGATGGATGTATTCCATCATCAATGGAACGAACTTTTTCTGATTCTCCTTGGTTTCATGAAATGAAAAAATAGACGACAATTTAGTGGACTATAGAATCGAACTGGGAACTGAGTCGGCAGATGAATAGACAGAAATACAACCGCGCTTTAAGATGAAATTGAACAGATTGAAGACGGAAATCAAGTAATCGGTGAAGCACACTATCATAAACAGGAAAATTTGCGAAGTAGCACTCTTGAAATTTCAATTCGAGTAGAGACCCCTAGAAGAGCAAGCTTCCATAATTTTGGTACTTCTATCTGGATTCCCCAACTTAAAGCTTAAATAATACCAATCTAGACCATCGGAATAACTTTAATGCGCCAAAGGAACAAAAGGGACACACTATAGAATTGCAAATTCCAATCACAAGAGGCCTAAGAAATTACGTTAATGTATAAATGTAAATTGCGCTAGTCGTGATATTATATGATATACTAGGGTGATTCAAAATTGTCGTCATTCCTTTTAAGGGCTGATAGGGGCTCACTTATAGAGTACGAGAAAAGTTTCGAGTTTCCGGAATTTTTTATAATTAGGAAGCGACAGGTTTTTACATAACGTTAATTAGGCAGATTACCTTGAAAAACATTGTTGCCATCCTTCTGATATACCTTTTTGTTTCTCAGTTTTAATAACAAATATTTTTTTACTATTTTTCCTACTCTGAAAACACCCCCAGCCTACGCCTGGGTGAGTTTTTAGGAGTCGGCGCAGTGCTACGCAAATGGATTGGCAAAAAAGTTGATGACTTTCTTACTTGTTTTTAGATTTAATTTAATGGCCATTAATTACTATTATTTTTAAACTTTCTTCAAATTTCAGAATTTTTCTGTTTTAACCAAGTTACTCTTTCCTCTTAATGCTCAATTTTCTAAAGGTTCACTAAAACATTCTGACAAACTTAAGGTATTTTTCGTGAAAAATTATGAAATAAATTCTGAATCCTTGGTCGCTATGTAAAAAGTTTTGAAATCCCATCGAAGCGTCAAATTTGGAACAATAATCAAATATTTTTTTATCAAAAATTCCTCCATTCCTCTGAAGACTGCAGTTTTTTTTGTTAAAAAACCTTGTTTTTTTGTTATGACTGAATTTTTTTTGTCTTACCTTCTACTCAAAAACGCTTTATTTTGTCGAGTTTACCTTTAAAATAATGACTATCTGGAGATGTTCTAAGCGAAAAATTACAAGACGTATTTATAACTTTGTAAACATTTTACAAAAACTTTTTAAATAAACCATAAAAAAAGTTTTTAATGAAAAACGCAAAAAAAATAATTTCCTCCTTTTCTGACAATAATGGGGTATTTTCAGCCCAAAATTACAAAATCAATTTGGCTATAAAATTCGCCTCATCGGTTTGCAGGGAAATTTAGAAAACCTTTTTCAGCTTCGAATTTGGCACAAAAACCAAATAATTTTATTCCATTTTTTATCGAAAGTAATTAAGTTTATCATCAAAAAAAGATTACAGAGCAAAAGTTTACAAAAAATTTTTTGAATAATTCGCCGCCCTCGTCGCTCTGAATATTTTTAAAGTTCCTTTAAATTTTCAGGTCATTCTAGTTTAAACAAAGTTTCTATTAGGCAATTCTTTCTACGCAAAAATCGCATTATTTTTAGTTAAAATACTGACACTCTTCAGGTATTTTCTGTGAAAAATTTTAAGATAAATTTTATTGGAACACTCGCCTCCTCTTTGCACAAATTGTTGGAAAAGTTTTTCTAGCTTTGAATTATGGACAAAACCCTAATAATTAATTCTGGGTTTTTTTCCAAAAATGTTTTCCCAAACTGAAAAAGCGAAAGTTGACAATCATTTATTTGGAAAACTCTTGGAAACTGGAGTTTCTTCACTTTCGGGTCAATATTTCTAAACAACTCTGTATTTAAACGGAAAAACCGCATTATTCCTAGCGTTTTACTGTAAAATACTGGCGAATCGAATATTTTATGCAAAAAAATTAAGAGATCGATTTTATAAGAAAACTCTTCGACTTTCTGTGAAGTCAGTTCTATTGCTGATAAAAGACAGCGAATGTTCAGTGGGTACATTGGTGTTCTTGGTTCTTAAGTAAGTGCACCAATAATTTAATTTTAAATTGTTGCAAAAAGTTTATGTTAACAATCAACAAAATCCGAATGCGCTTCTCACTAAACCGTTTGTAAACGAGTTAGGCTCGGTTGTACAATGAAGGCTTAAGTGAATTCAGCCTGAAGTTAAACTGAAGTTCAAATTGAACCGGCGATCAAAGCAGATCAGTTCAGGTTTAGAGTTCGGTTGAATTCTTCTAAACTCAAGCTTAAGATTCCATTGTACAATTGCGCCTTAATGTCGTTTATGTAGATGTGTAACGGAGTCTAGAAGATAATGACAAACATTTTGAAATTTTTCTTCGTTTGATTTTTATAAAGAATCACAACAAAAAAATGGAACGTGTATCAGTTCTCCTTATGGACACTTTGTAGATAAAAAGGATGGGAAGGAGTCTAGAAGAAAACGAAGCAAAATTCTACATTTCTATATTTCTGTTCAAATTTGTAATTGCTCACAACCGTTACTTGTAATGAATAAGAAAATTGGGCGTATAAAATACAAAGTCAAAATTAGTCAATGAAATGTGACGCATAAAACATTTTAAAAAAATGATTATTCTTTCATTTTAGTAAAGCAGAACGAACGAAGCGCCAACGAAAGCTGCGAAGCTCAAAGTTGATCACAAAGTTTGTGAACTTACCAGCGACTTTAAAAAATTGCTGAACTTGAATCCAACTTCATGCAATAAGTGCACTTTATCAAGCTCATAAGCTATTCCCTATGTTTAATTTCAAAATCCTAAACTGGAACTCCTTATGAAGATCAATATCCCTCCAATCAATAAAAAACTTGTAGGATAAAATAGCAACATTCGATTCGAGGACAGAACACGAAGTGACGTTCATTTTTCAATCCCCCACGAACGAAATTCTAGCAAAGCAATCAAAAATAAATAAAGGATTTTTGTTCCACAAATTTGAACACCTATTCACATTCAAAACAACACTGAAGAATTTTGAGCGTTTACCTTGAACGAATCTTCTTCAGTCGACTATTTTAAATCCAATCGACACGAAATGTATACTTTTGAAAATGTAGTTCACAATTTGAAGTTCAAGATTGAAAATCATCTTCGAACTCACCACATGAATTGCGCAGAAAAATTAGCAATTCTCGAACTCTGCAAAAACTTTTCTGGTATTTTTATCCCTATATTAAAACCAATGACCCATTAACTTTCACCTCGAAGGTACTTTTCAACCCTTGATTTAGCAAGCGATTTTCATCAAATTCAGATGGAAGAAAAGTCAATTGAGAACAGCTTTCAATGTTAACAGCAGCCTGGCAGCGGATATTTTGCATACCTACGAATGTCTTTTAGATTGAAAAACGCACCCGCGACTTTTAATTAAAAAAATACAAAATAAAATATGTATGGTTTTAATGGATGATTTTTTTATTTACAGTACTCGTCTTCAAGAGCATATTCAAAATATACGACTTGTAGTTTCAAAATTAAGAGCTGCAGCAGCAAACTGAAAAACTGAAAACCAGCTTAATAAATGCGAATAATTAAAATGAGAAGTTGAATTCCTTGGTTATCTAGTGACTCCCCAAGGAATTAGACCAAACAACAAGATTACGCAATGTAAAACTCATTCCTCACAGCTATGGCTGTTAACATGAAAAAGCCACAATAATTGTGGGGGACCTGGAAGACCAATCGTCACAAACCACGAGAAGAAGAAAAGCAGGTCCCGCAAATTTCGAATCTCACGGAGAGAGTAGTTATATCCACGCATTAGTCGCAATAAAACTTTGGTTTTTAAATAGAAAATGTCCATTTGGAAATCTATAATTGCTTGTAACGAACAAACATGTGCGAAGAAAAAATACTGCTAGCATAGTGAACTACTCACGTGGAAGATAGGGTGGTCGCTCCCTGCTTTCTTCTGGATTTCCAGATTCAGAAAAAAGTTATGAAATGCACCCCGTCGTTTTGCCATGATCATTGGCACAAGCCAGACATGGTCGCTGGTAAGTTGACTCCAAGGAGGCTTAGAGAGCTCTTGTATATCGGCCTCTAATACTTTGTGGGCCTTTAAGTTCATCCGTTGCGACTGAAACGCCGTGCACAGTCGGTAGAACTACAAATGCAATGAAAACGTAAACGTGAAATCGACGACAGTTGTGGCAAACATCAGCTTACCCGTCGCTGCGTCTCTAGACTCTTGTATATCTTGGTTTCGTTGGTCAAAGTGGCATTAGTAACCAGGTCGCGAATTGCCCGGTTTTTTTTCTCGTTCAGCATCTGGAAGACACTTTGCTGTTTTGGGGTTGTGGTTTGCCTGGCTACGAAGTTTCCGCATACAAAGTTGTGAAAACCATCGCAGGGTTCGGCCGATTCATCGACAAAGGCTTTGATGTGATTCGCCAATGCGACGCAATCTTCGGATTGGCAAACATTGTCACGAAGCCAATTGCCTGAAAATACTAAACACCAGGTTTTTGTGTAACTGCACAGTAATGGGATTTATACCAAGAAAGTAGAAAATGGCGGTTATTATGGCGGTTGTGTAGGCCACAATAAGATATCGTCGCCTCCGTCGGTTCAGCCCAGTCACTGCTAAAAAACATCTTTTGATTTTCTGAGAAACGCCCATATCTGCAGTTTATTCAGGAACAACAACTTAATGAACATAAACTCTACAAGCACACTGAGGTTGGTTGAATCTCAAGAAATGCACGGAAAAACTGGCCTGGCTTGGAATGTTTAAACGAAGGATATGTGGCGTAGATATTTTCGAATCACTGATAAATATTCGATTTTGATTTAAGGAAAAAATAAATGTAGAAATTCCTCGATTGTCTGGTTGCAGGTCAAAAATGTCGCGAGTCCTGGACATCAAAAAGCAGCGAGCAACTGTACAATCTATTTCTGGACATCATCCTGCTCTTAATTCCATTAGCCATTATGGGTCTGGCTTATTTCATGATTGTCGACAAGCTGTGGAAGGGACTGCGCAGGGAAATCGAACACAGTTCCTGCCAAAAATTAGGTAAGCCAGCGTTATTTCCTCATCGCGTCCATAAGTCCATTTGCTTGATCTCATATATTCGGCGTAAGTGAATTATCCCTCTCTAGACTCTAACTCGAGAACGGAGGAGGCAATCGGATAAATTCCGTTTTGCTCATTTTATCCCGGTAAAAACTATTTGGCATCCTGGCTACAGATTAAGGGACCCAGCAACATGTACAGGGTGGCCCACTAAGAGAGGTGGTCGGCCATATCTCACAAACTATTAGCCGTATCGATTTCAAGTAAAAAATTATATAAGTAAAGTGGCTCAGGGTAAGGGCCGGAAATAACTTTCAAGTTTGCAAAATGGCCGCTAGAGGGCAAAATTGCAATAGTACATTTTAAATACGGATTTTTAGCAGTTTAGGACAGGCTAAGGTAGCTTGCAAATACTTTAATTGTATTCTTGACAAACTTTCAGTTATTTCTTGTGGGAGTATTATTGTTCTAGCTAGTCGAATAAAGTGGTGGGGAAATGTCAAATAACGGTTCAAAAAGTTGGCCGCCAGAGGGCGCGTTATAAAAAGACGTCAAACTTTTTTGATTTTCTTAAATTTTTTAAATGGAATGATATATATTATTTAGCTGCTTAGAAAGAGTATAAAAAATGAAACAAAATAGTGAAAACCGCACACCGATATATTTGTTGTAACCGAAGATATAAGCGATTTGACAATAACAATGATATGATTGGGTTGTTTACAAAACAATCAGTCCTGAGAAGAGCCGATTGAGTTATATATATAAATAATCTTTATTTCCTACAGCAAAAGACTATCGACCCAATCGGTCTGCCCTTGTGTAGTACATATGTGTCTTAGCCTGGCTTATTCTAAAATTAATTCCTATTCCTAACACTCGCATAAACTAGTCTGTGATAAAAAAAAATTCTTGCCTTACAAAACAAACAGGATTTAGTTCAATTGCGTTTGTGCCTTAGCCCAGCTTATTCTTAAATTAATTCATATTCCCAACACTCGTATAAACTAATCAATAATAAAAAAAATAAGAAATAAATTCTTGGACTACAAAACAAACAGCTAGTTCAGTTGCGGTTGTGCCTTAGCCCAGCTTATTCTAAAATTCCTATTCCTAACACTCGTATGAACTAATCAGTGATAAACAAAATTCTTGGTTTACAAAACAAACAGGTCTTAGTCGTTGATTCAGTTGCGTTTGTAGGTGTTCTAGTAAAACTAAAGTAGAGTGTTTTGTCTGTCTAGTTAGGCAAAGGGGATTCAGTATGGTCCAGTTGTGGGGGTTGTTTGTCCATTTTGTCTGTAAGTGTATTAGTCTTTCCGAAATTTTTGTCATGTTTGTGCGTTCGTATAGTAGTTGGTTGGAAGGGTTGTGCAGTGGGTTTTGGGGGTGTCTTATTCGTGTTATTAGTCTTAGTGCAATTTGTTCTGTTGTTTGTACGTATCGTTTTGACCTTACTGTTCCGTTGGCGATGAAGTGATATATGTCCGTAGTCCAAGAGGGGTCTGCAGATCGCTTTGTATATTTTTGTCGCGGTATTTGTACTAATTCCTTTGTCTGTGTATGTTAGTGATCGAAAGCGTTTTGTTCTTTTTATCGTTTCTGCTCTGATGTTTCGTGTGTGTTTAGTAAATTTGAGTTTGTGGTCGATTGTGATTCCAAGGTACCTTACGTCGTTTTTCGGTTGTGTCGTTTGGCCGTCTGCAGTTATTGTAGGGGAGTCAG